ACACACACTCACACACACACACACACAGACACACTCTCACACACAAACTCTCACGCACACACACACAGGTTTGTTTTTGTGAAAAGTGGGGACTCTCCATAGGCGTAATGGTTTTTATACTGTACAGACCGTATATTCTATTGCCCTACACCAACCCTACCCCTAAATCTACCCCTCACAGGAGACTTTGTGCTATTTCAGATTTTCAATACACTCCATTCTGTGTGATTGATAAGCGTTTTGAAAAGTGGGGACATGGGGTAATGTCCTGAAAAGTCACCTTCTCCTTGTAATACCTGTCATACCTTTGTCATTATACACATTTATGTCCACATTGGTCACAAAAACGTGCACACACTCACACACACACACACACACATAATAACTCTCGAATATCAGGACAACATGGCACATAATAACAGAGTGAAGTGGGAAATTCTTCAGTGCACTGCTCTGTTATTTATCCGTTCGTTGATTATTGTTAGATTTTTTTCCCCTGCTGTTTTCTGTATGCAGGTATATCTGCTGTATATACTCACAAACTTCTGGCATTTGTGTCCCTCATATTTAAATATGTATCAGCAACTGTTTGCAGTCCCATCAGGATTTCACACACACACATATGGATATATATACATATATATATATATATAGCAATATCTAGTTATTTAATAATATGTAATACCTAATTATAACACTAACAGTGTAAGAAGCTGAAGCCATGCGGCTGCACACATTGGTGTAGCTAGTAGATGGCAGGATGCATGTACCTTCTTACACTCGTCGTATCCCGCTATGAAAAGATGGATTTTTTTTATTTTGGACTGAATTTGTCTCGGCTTTCTCAAAATATTTATTTGCATTAAATGCATTCAAGTATTTATGTAATTGCTCCTGGCTCTGACCTTTAAATGTTTTAAATGCTTATTTCATGTATTGAAAGATTAACAGGCATATTATTGTCTACTGTTGTCATTTTTAAAGTATTTACCCAATTTTTAGTTCTTACATCATTGCATTCTTTCAAAGTATTGATGGCCTGTTCTGAGCTGACTGTCTGTCTCTGTCGGTTGAAGTCTGACTTTGAGGCGGTTCCTGCACCGAATCTGGGGGATCTGGACATCACCACAGACGAGTTCATCCTGGACGAGGTGGACAGTGAGTTCTGCGTTGTATCTCATCAGCTGAGGAAGGGAAGCGCAGGTCGCTTATTTCCAGAACTCACTAATAATCCCCTGTTGATTGTCTTTTTCAGTTCACATTCAAGCGAATCTAGAGGATGATCTGGTGAAGGAGGCGCTCAAGACGGTGAGATGGACGCTGATCTGCTGATGTGTGAGTGTGTGATGATGATGATGATGATGAAGATGTGTGTTTGTGTGGATCAGGGTGTGGATCTGCGGCAGTACTCCAAACAGGTGGAGACGGAGCTGCAGCGCATTGAACAAGCATCAATCAAGGACTGTATCCATACTTCAGTGCATTTATGACAGAATCACACCAAAACATGTCAGCTCACCGAAAGAAAACTACTTCATGAGATTCACTGTTATGATTCTGCATATAATGTTTCTGTCAGTGAACATGATTATGTTTCAGTAATCAAGTCTTATTATTTCAAGCTTGTGACGGACGTTTGCAGAGACCCTTAACAGTAGCGCTGGTGCAGATATAAAAGAGAGTCAGAATATTGCCTCTTTACACAACCAGATCACCGCCTGTGACTCCATACTGGAGGTGAGTGCATTCAGTCTGCATTAGAAGTGAGCAACCTGTTAGCGGAAAATAACACACGGACGAAACTCTCCTTCAAGTTTCAAATTATACTAACTTTTGGAATATATTATTATTAGTGCTGTCAAAATTAGACAGCAATGCTGCCTTAAAACTGCATGCATGTAATATATTTTATATGAGTCAC